CCCTGCAGAGCCCCCCACCCCCCCACAAGCGGCGTTTTCAAAGCCTCTCCTCTGGCGAGGGGTTTTCCAGGCACCCCTTGCTGCCCTGCACTTAGTTTCTACATCCCTGCCAAGCTGTTAAACACTTACATAATTTCCTCATTATATATTTTTCCTCCTATTTGATATATTTGTATATTCTCCCCCTTATATATACATTTTCCCCCATTCCTTTTATATATTTAATTTCCCCCCTGTTCCATTTATATATGTATTTTTCCCCTGTTCCATTTATTTATGTTTTTTTTTTCCCCATTCCCTTTGTGTACATTTTTCCTTGTTCCTCTGATAGCTACTTTTCCCCTTTTCCCTTTGCAGATACCTTTTCCCCTTTTGCCTTCATATATCTCTTTTCCCCATTTCCTTTACATAAATATTTTTTTCCTTATTCCTTTCTACATATCTTTCCCCTTTTCCCTTTATATATCTCTTTTCCCCATTTCCTTTACATATCTATTTTTTTCCTAATTCCTTTCTACATATCTTTTCCCCTTTTCCCTTTATATATCTCTTTTCCCCGTTTCCTTTACATATATATTTTTTTCCTTATTCCTTTCTACCTATCTTTTCCCCATTCCTTTGATACATACTTTCCCCCATTCCTTTTATATAGAAACATTATTTTTCCCCCTGTTAACGAGGTATTAAATCGAGCCCATCCTGCCCACCCCAGCTGTCCCAACCCCAGGGCTCCGTGCCCCCCTACACCCCTTTTTTTTCCCTCCAGGTGGGGCAGGGAGAAGGGCAACGAGCTCTGCAGCCCTTCAGATGGTTTTATTTCACTTTCTGGGGCTCAAACTGGCAGCTGGTGCAAATCTGGAGAATTTCAGAGGGGGTGGCCACGCTGGTCCAGGTCCCCCTGAAGGATAAGGGTTGGGTATGGGATTTGGGAAGGTTTTTGGCTGGCGGGGGACCATCTCCATCCTTTCTTCCCCCGCCTCCCGCAGACTACCAAGGTGACTACTACGGACCGGGAGGCAACTATGACTTTTTCCCCCACGGGCCGCCCTCCCAAGCCCAATCCCCGGCCGACTCCAGCTACCTTCAGAACTCAGGACCCGGCTCCACACCCCTGGGACCCTTGGAGCCCCCCTTAAGCGGACACCACTCCTCAGAAAACCAAAGGTACACGGATATGATCTCGCATCCCGACACCCCCAGCCCCGAGCCGGGGATGACCGGGTCGTTGCACCCCATCCCGGGGGAAGTCTTCAGCGGGGGGCCCAGCCCCCCCTTCTCCATGTCCAGCAATAGCGGCTACAGCGGGGCCCTCTCGCACCCCAACCCGGAGCTCAGCGAGGCAGCGGTGTGGTAGGCCCGGCGTGGGCACGCGTGCGCCTGTGGAGGGGGGGGGGGCAAAAAACCACCCCCACGGTCCCCCAACCCACGCGTGTCCCCCTTTTTTCCCCCCCGGCCCCGCACCAGGGCTCATCACATCACTATCGCCGGATAAAGACACCCCCCCCACTCTCTCCGATGCCAAAACGCATCCCTGCATCCCTCCCCATCCCCGCATCCCTCCCCACCCCCGCCTCCCCCCCCCCCCCCCCCCC